GCGCTCTTCGCGCGCTGCTCTGCTGCGCCCAACACGCGCGCGTGCTGTCCCGCCTTCCCGCCTGCCTCGAGGCATAAGGCCTCGTCCGTTGCGTGTGCTTCCGTCGCGCCTGGCTTTCCCGCGGGCGCGCCCATTGACCCTGCGCTACGCACGGCTGGCCCGTCCACGACCCTCATGCCAGCCGCGTTCACCGCCCGTGCATCCGCATGCTGCCTATCCTTGCCCATCTCGTGCGCACTTCGCTCTAGCACGCGTACTTCTGCCGTCGCTCGTGGTTGCCTCTTGCGTGCGTGATAGGCCCGACTGGCCGCGTTCTTGAGCTGCCTAGCCACTTCCGCATCATTCTCGTCCCCTTCAAGTGATTCCTTGTCCTCAAGGATAAAGCTCGGGAACTGATCACGTATCTCTTCAAGATATTCCCACGTGGCTTCTTCAGGTGGCAGCTCTTCCCAGTCAACTAGCACCTCCCAACGATATCGTCCTGCTCTCTTTACCTTACGGTACTCAATTGCTCGTTTTGGGCGTACTATAGCCCTGCCGTCGGTTGCCGTTGCTGGTAGCTCCTCACAGTACTTTTGTGCTTCTCCTAGGCTTCTTTTGAGCTGTGAAACATGTATAACCGGGTGGATCTGCGAACTTTCTGGTAGCTCCAGACGATAAGCTACCTGACCAATGCGTTTCAAAATCTGATATGGCCCATAATAACGAACGCCCAGCTTAGTAGCTGCCCTTTGCGTAGTCGTGCATTGCCTGAATGGTCGAAGCTTCAGATAGACGTACTCTCCTGGTACAAAATTGTCCTCTCGCCTTTTTCCGTCTGCGAAGGCTTTGGTTCGATTGATTGAGCCTTCGAGATTTCTTTTTAGCTCACGTAACATCAAATCTCGTTCCTCTAGTTCACGACCAACCTCATCGTTGACTGTATTCCCCTCTGAATAACTGATCAGTGTTGGTGGTTTTCGCCCATATACTAACTCGAATGGCGTCATCTTGGTCGACTCGTGGTAAGTGGTGTTGTACCAATACTCAGCCCATGGTAAGAAGTTTTCCCACCTCCTCGGGAATTGATGGACATAGCACCTTAAGTACTGCTCGAGTGTCCGGTTAGTTACCTCGGTTTGCCCATCTGTCTGGGTGTGGTATGCTGAGCTCATAGATAACTTGGTCCCCTGAAGCTTAAAAAATTCAGACCAAAAACTGCTCATAAAAATCTGGTCTCGGTCAGAGACGATAGATCGAGGTGCCCCATGCAGTTTCATCACATACTCTACGAATAACCTGGCAATCGACTTTGCGGTGTAAGGATGGGTAATGGGTATGAAGTGAGCGTACTTCGTGAGACGATCCACCACAACCATGATACCGTCAAATCCATTAGAATTTGGTAGCCCCTCGATGAAATCCATGGTGATGTCTTCCCAAATTGCCTCGGGTACTGGTAAGGGTTGCAATAGCCCACTTGGCCGTCGCGAATCAGACTTAGTGCGTTGGCAGTCATCGCATCGAGCTATGTAATCACGAACGGAACTCTGCTGCTCGGGCCAGAAGAAGGTGTTGGCTATCCTCATCCACATGCGATAGATACCCGAGTGGCCTCCAACCTTAGAGTCATGGAAGTGCTGCAAAATCTGCTCGCGTAACTGCCCACTGTCGGGGACATAGACTCGACCTTGGTGTAGAAGTAGATCATTGTGCAGCTCGTAGTCGATAGCAGTTGTCTTACCTGCTTCTATCGATTGGCGCAGTTCCTGGCAATGGGTATCCTCTACTTGCGCCTTCCGGATCTCCTTCCAAATGGCCCAAGTAGGTCCAGTGATCGCACTTAACTCGGCCACGTCCGTTCGTAGAAATAGCGCGTCGGCCACTGCGTTCTGTCGACCTGGTCGATAGATTATCTCGAAGTCAAACCCGTTAAGTTTAGACACGAATCTCTGTTGCTCGGGGGTAACAATCCTTTGCTCCAATAGGTGCTTAAGCAGTTGTTGATCGGTAACTATTTGAAAACGTCGACCTAATAAATAAGGCCTCCAGCACCGTACAGCCTCGACAACCGCTAGCATCTCTTTCACGTACACTGACAGACCTAACCGAGTAGTGCCCAGCACTTTACTGAGATAGGCTAGGGGTCGCCCCTCTTGTACTAGCACAGCTCCAATTCCAATGTCACTCGCATCGGTATGTACCTCGAACAAGACATCAAATCTAGGCATGGCGAGCACTGGCGTTGTCGTCATAGCTTCTTTTAATTTCCCAAACGCCTCCTCGCTAGCTTCGGTCCATATGAACCCACCCTTCTTAGTCATTGCTGTCAGTGGCTTAGCGATGGTTCCATAATCCTTTACAAACTTCCGGTAGTAACCT